GACTCAATTACTAAGGGTCACGATTTCAAGGTGAGAGGGGAAAAGTTTAAGGGAGATACGTGTGGAAAGTTCTTTACGCAGAGGGTAGTTGGTGCCTGGAACGTGTTACCAGCGGAGGTGGTAGAGGCAGGCACGATAGCGTCATTTAAGCTGTATCTAGACAGATGCATGAATGGGCAGGAAGCAGAGGGATACAGATCCTTGGAAAATAGGCGACAGGTTTAGATAGAGGATCTGGATCAGCGCAGACTTGGAGGGCCAAAGGGCCTGTTCCTGTGCTGTAATTTTATTTGTTCTTTGTTCTTTGTTTAGAGGGATATGGGCCAAATACAGGCAAGTGGGACTAGTTTAGTTTGGAAAACTTGGTTGGCATTGGACCAAAAGGTCTGTTTCCTGTATGACTCTACTTGCACGTGCTATGCCTATGGAAGCAAATTGAAGCCTGAAATGAAGCCTGTAGTTTACACTGAGTTCAGGAATCCTTTGTTTGCACCTTCTTCCCATCAATGCTGCTTTATCCAAGGCCACCCTTTTCTACAAAGGGTGATCTGTTTGACTGCCCCAGCTGCCCTCTTTCACTGTCACCGCTGGAGGCCCCAGCACAGCTACTTGATCTGCCCTGCTCAGTGCTTTTCCTCACTGAGGTCATCTGCTGCTAGAGGTTACAATAGCATTCCACCTGAAAACCCACCGATTCTCTCTTTAAGAATCTCACAACTGGGTCACCCCAGCACAAGCATGGGCTTGCTTAAAACTGTCCAACACCAAAATCAGAAAACATCCTTACTTCTGATACGTCTTTGTTACTGGATGCAGCTACTTCTAATCACCCACATCTGACCGCGTTTACGCTTTTTGCATTTTTGTGGAGAGAATAACACACAGATAACTGAGCCCAAAACGGAACGTCCCCTGCACCATATCCCCATGGCAATTTGGCATAACTGAAATGCCCCAGATACAGATTCAAACACATCATCAAGAATTTGCAAAAACAGAAAATTGTAGCAAGAGTAGGCCATTCAACCCATTGAGCCAGCTCTGCTATTCAACATGATCAGGGCTGATCATCCAATCCAGTACCACCAAAGTGGATAACCTCTCATTTATCCACGTTAAACTTCATCTGCCATACTCTCACCCACTCACTCAATTTGTTCAAATCACATTGAAGCATCTCTGCACGCTCCTTGCAGCTCACCCTCCCACCCAGCTTTGTCTCATCTGCAAACTTGGAGATGTTACATTTAGCTCCCTCGTTTAAATCATTAACATATATTGTGAATAGCTTGGGTCCAAGCGGTGATCCCTGTGGTACCAATAGTCACTAGCTGCCACTTGGAAAATGAACTCTTTATTCCTATTCTTTGTTTCCTGTTTGCCAACCAGTTCTCAATCCATGTCAATAGATTACCCCTAATCCCATGCGCTTTAATTTTGCATGGTAACCTCTTATGTGGGACCTTATCAAAAGCCTTCTAAAAGTCCAAGCAAACCAAATCCCTTGGCACCTCCTTATCAACAGTACTTGTTACATCCACGAAAAATTCGAGTAGATTTGTCATGTATGATTTTCCTTTCATAAATCCATGCTGACTCTGTTCAATTCAGTTACAGTTTTCCAAATGCTCTTCTACTAAATCTTTCATAATGGACTTTAGAATTTTCCCTACAATCACATCAGGCTAACTGGTCTATCCCTGTTTTATTTCTACCTCCTTTTAAAAACTGTGTGGTTACATTAGCTACCCTCCAATCCATGGGAACTGTTCCAGAGTCTATAGAATCTGGAAAGACGATCACCAACGCACCCACTATGTCTATGGTCATTTCCTTACATAATCTGGGATGTAGATTATTGGGCCCTAAAGCTTTATCAGCCTTAAATCCTATCAATTTCCCCTGATTTTCCTATCTGATTTCCTTCAGTTCCTCTGTCTCACTACACCTTCTTCCCCAACAGTTCTAGGACATTATTTGGGTCATCCTTTGTGAATACAGAATGAAAATAATTATTTAATTGATCTGCCATCTCTGTTCTCTATTATAATATCCTCTGTTTCTGATTGGTGGCTGCCTCACAGTGCCAGGGACCCGAGTTTGATTCCACCCTCAGGCGACTGTCTGCGTGGAGTTTGCACATTCTCCCCAAGTCTACGTGGGTTTCCTCCAGGTGCTCTGGTTTCCTCCTACAGTACAAAGATGTGCAGGCTAGGTAGATTAGCCATGCTAAATTGCCTGTAGTGTTCAGGCATGTGTAGATTATGGGTCTGGGTGGGATGCTCTGACGTTCGGTCTGAAGAAGGGTCTAGGCCCGAAACGTCAGCCTTCCTGCTCCTCTGATGCTGCTTGGCCTGCTGTGTTCATCCAGCTCTAGACCTTGTTATCTCAGATTCTCCAGCATCTGCAGTTCCTACTATCTCTGTTTCCACACTGTAGGGTTTCTATGAAAACTACATTTGTCTTTACCAGTGTTTTTTTTTCTTCACATAGTTATGGATGATTTTATGATCAGTTGGTAAAAAGATACAAGGGGCAGTTCCTTACCTCTGGGCTAAAAGGCCAGGGTTCAAGTCCCACCTGCTCCAGAGGTGCGTCATGGCATGTTCTGAACAGATTGATTAAAATCATCTGTAAGGAACCATTCCTTGAGGCAAGCTAACCAGTTTCTAACTTGTGAGCTAATATTAATGTGTACTTACATGCTACACCCTCTAATTTTTGTCCTCTGAAGTTTGTGCACAGCTGCAATGTCCGCACACGTATATCAATGTGTCAGTCATGCAGGTCAGAAGGAACATTGCTTAAACTCATGTATGTCTCACAGGAGGGTGCCACATAACTTGAATGTAATATAAACAGTCATTAAGGACTATGTATTAAAATTATTCCACTCAACAAGACTGAGCATCTCTTCTCCTGAAGGCTTTGAATGAATAGTCTTCTCCATGTGGAATCAGTAATGTAGACTATTAGCAATAAGAAGAATTGATGGCAGTGAATCTGCCCAAGGCATCTCAGATGGACACCACAACAACATAAACCATGCATATAGCAATGCAGATTTTGTAATATAGAACATGAATGTTATAGAATTCTTCCTTTCACATTTTTGACCAAGGAGGAATTTCTTCCCTTATAGGGTGATGAACCTGTGGAATACTTTACCATAGAGGGCCAGCAAGGCTGGGTCATTAAGTACATCCAAGGCTGGAGTAGACGGACTTTGTAAACTAAGGGAATCAAGGGTGATAGGGAAAAGGCAGGAACGTGGAATTGAGGATTATAGATCAGCCATGATGTCATTGAATGGCAGAGCAGACTCGATGGGCCAAATTAAATTCTGCCCGCAATTCAAAATGATCATGGCTGATCATCTGGCTCAGTACGCTTTTCCCACATTCACCCCATACTATTTGATTACTTTAGCCCTAAGAACTATATCCGTCTCCTTCATGAACACATTCAATGTTTGGCCTCAACAGTTTTCTGTGGCACAGAATTCCATTGGCTCACCACTCTCTGGAATGGAGTTGAAGATTATCAGCTCAGCCATGATCTCATAGAATGGTAAAGCAGACTTAATGGGCTGAATGACCTAATTCTGCTTCTACGCCTTATGGTCTCATGGAATGAGTGCCTCCTGAGTTGCAGGCAATCAATGATTTGATGAAAATGATTTAGGAATTCTTGAAAGAATGATTCTTAAAAGGCTTGGGTTAAGCAGTTGGAAAAAAAATTCATTAGAGACTAAAATAGAGTCATCATAGTCCTACCAGATAACAGGGCTGCTTTCTCACTCAGAGCTAGTAAGAACTGTGATGCTGGAGTCGGAGATAACACAGTGTGGAGCTGGAGGAACACAGCAGGCTAGGCAGCATCAGAGAAGCAGATTTCTGAAGAAGGGTCGTGACCCAAAACGTCAACTTTCCTGCTCTTCTGATGCTGCCTGGCCTGCTGTGTTCCTCCAGCTCCACACTGTGTTATCTTAGGGCTGCTTTCTCAGATATTTTGTATCAACCTGTTCAGAGATGTTATGACACACCTCTGGGTCAGGTAGGGCTTAAACCCAGACCTCCTGGTCCACAAGAGCTGTCAGGGCTACTCTCTCATTACAGGTGAGATGTTGAGGAGGGGAATCTCAGGTGATGCAGGTTGTTGAATCTAGGCTCTGCATAGCAAATCAACCATCCAATGGTATCAATGTGGACTTCACAAGCTTCAAAATCTCCCCTCCCCAAACGCATCCCAAAACCAGCCCAGCCTGTCCCCGCCTCCCTAACCTGTCCTTCCTCCCACCTATCCCCTCCTCCCACCTCAAGCCCCACCCCCATCTCCTACCTACTAGCCTCATCCCATCCCCTTGACCTGTCCGTCCTCCCTGGACTGACCTATCCCCTCCCTAACTCCCCACCTACACTCACATTACTGACTCCATCCCCGTCTCTTTGACCTGTCTGTCTCCTCTCCACCTATCTTCTCCTCTATCCATCTTCTATTCACCTCCCCAGTCTCCCTATTTATTTCAGAACCCCCTTCCCCTCCCCCATTTCTGAAGAAGGGTCTAGGCCCGAAACGTCAGCTTTCCTGCTCCTCTGATGCTGCTTGGCCTGCTGCGTTCATCCAGCTCTACACCTTGTTATCTCTAACCATCCAACCAACTGAGCTAACCGAACCCCTCAGGAAGGTCCAGTAACGGTGCAAGTCCTGAAATTGTGTGATATGTGCACATGCGGCGAGGTTGGAAGACATGGCAATAAAAAAGAGCTCCCTTCATGGAAGACGTGCTGATACCCTGGAATAAGGTGGCACCTTGAATGCCCCGGGCTCTTGCCACGTGCCACCAGCACGGCGTGTATCATTTCTGAAAAGGCGGGAGATCCTCGCGTGCCCGCGTTGCCGGGGTGACCGAGGCGCGCGCGGTTTGGAAGGGGAAGCGGGGCGGAGCTGCTGTTCTCGCGAGACCCGTTGTGCGTCTCGGGGGTGGGAGGGGCTGAGGGGAGGAAACAAGAGGCGGGAGAAGCTGGCTGACAGGCACCGGGGGTAGGAAGGTGAGAGCAACAGGTAAGAGGAATGTGTCGTAGCTGTCGGTGTTGAGTTACATTAGAGTACCCTCCTATTCCTGTCGCCGTGTGCCATTCCACAGAGCGGCTTGCAGTAGCAGCCGAGGGCTGGATGGCATGGCAACCAAACGCCAGGCTTCAGTTCCCCCACCTAGGCCAGCCCCCTTTTCTCCGCCCCTTCCCTCTCGTGTCATGTTTGCACTTCAGTCAAAGCCATGTTGATTTTAGGTTTTATTTTCTAATCCACCTCTTCAGAAATGTTATGACATACCTCTGGAGCAGGTAGGTCTTGAACCCTAGCCTCCTTGTGCAGGGATAGGGATACTGCCATTGCACCACAAAAACCCTGGCAGAATTTTTTTTAAAAGGGATTGCTATGGGACAGAGGAATTCGTTTTTAGCAAATCAAGTATTTTAGTTGAAACAAGACTAATTTTAGGGATGATTTCTATCATTTTTGACTTTACAAAAAGAAACTACCCACCTGTCCCTCTATACTGTCCCAAGTCCATGAATTTCCATCTTATTTTGCCCACAATTAGTTGAGGGTTTACTTGTACCTCTCATGATTTTAAAATGACTGCAGTGAATGTCCATGTTGAAGGTTTTATTTTGCTTTGGTTGCCATGTATGTGTTTTGCATAAAAGTGTAACTGTTGGTTTTTGCAAAACTTATATCTTGATGTAATGTTGATATAATTGTTATTTGGGTGAATCCACCAATTTGAAATTGTAAAGAGCCTTTATATTATCATTCCTTCATGAGATGTGGGCATTGCTGGCAGGGCTAGCATTTATTGGCCATCACTTGTTGCCCTTTACAAGGTGGTGATAAGCCATTTTCTTGAACTGCTGCAGTCCCATTGTTCTAGGTGGACCACAAAGCAGATACAGAGTTATACAGCATGGAAACAGATGGTTTAGTCCAACCCATGCTGACCAGAAATCACAATCTGACCTAGTTGCATTTGGCCCGTATCCCTCTCATTCCTTCCTATTCATATACATATCCTTCCAAATGTTATTGTACCCATGTCCTCCACTTCCCTGGCAGCTTCTTGCATACATGCCTGTCCATCAACATAGCTATTAGGGAGGCAGTTGAGGACCAGTGATTTAATTCCAAGGACTTTCCTGTACGTCTGCTGCCCTTCTTCTAGATGATAAAATCATTAAGAAATAGGAGCAGGAGTAGGCCATTCAACCCCTTGAGCCATTCTGTAGGATCATAGTTGATCCAGCAAACAGAAACAGAATCTACTAACAGTAGATTTCATAGAACATAGAACATTACAGTGCAGTACAGGCCCTTCGGCCCTTGATGTTGCGCTGACCTGTGAAACCAATCTGAAGCCCATCTAACCTAAACTATTCCATTATCATCCATATGTTTATCCAATGACCATTTAAATGCCCTTAAAGTGGGCGAGTCTACTATTTTTGCAGGCAGGGCATTCCACGCCCTTACTACTCTCTGAGTAAAGAACCTACCTCTGACATCTGTCCTGTACCTATCACCCCTCAATTTAAAGCTACGTCCCCTCGTGCTAGCCATCACCATCCGAGGAAAAAGGCTCCCACTGTCCACCCTATCTAATCCTCTGATCATCTTGTATGTCTCTATCAAGTCACCTCCTAACCTTCTTCTCTCTAACGAAAACAGCCTCAAGACCCTCAGCCTTTCCTCATAAGACCTTCCCTCCATACCAGGCAACATCCTGGTAAATCTCCTCTGCACCCTTTCCAATGCTTCCACATCCTTCCTATAATGCTTTGACCAGAACTGTACGCAATACTCCAAGTGCGGCCGCACCAGAGTTTTGTACAGCTGCAACATGACCTCATGGCTCCGAAACTCAATCCCTCTACCAATAAAACCTAACATACTGTACGCCTTCTTAACAATGCTATTAACCTGGGTGGCAACTTTCAGTGATCTATGCACATGGACACCGAGATGTTTCTGCTCATCCACACTACCAAGAATCTTACCATTAGCCCAGTACTCTGTATTCCTGTTACTCCTTCCAAAGTGAATCACCTCACATTTTTCTGCATTAAACTCCATTTGCCACCTCTCAGCCCAGCTCTGCAGCTTATCTATGTCCCTCTGTAACCTGCAACATCCTTCCGCACTATCCATAACTCCACCGACTTTGGTGTCATCCGCAAATTTACTAACCCATCCTTCTACGCCCTCATCCAGGTCATTTATAAACATGACAAACAGCAGTGGCCCCAAAACAGATCCTTGAGGTACATCACTAGTAACTGAACTCCAGGATGACCATTTCCCATCAACCACCACCCTCTGTCTTCTTGCAGCTAGCCAATTTCTGATCCAAACCGCTAAATCACCCTCAATCCCATGCCTCCGTATTTTCTGCAATAGCCTACCATGGGGAACCTTATCAAACGCTTTACTGAAATCCAAATACACCACATCAACCGCTTTACCCTCATCCACCTGTTTGGTCACCTTCTCGAAGAACCCGTTGAGAGAGTTCCTGTGCTACAGCTTGTATATGGTGCACATTATATGTCACTTGCGTAGGAAGTAAAAGTTGAAGGTGGTGGATGGGTGCTTATTACAAAGGCCACTTGGTTCTGGATGGTGTTGAGCTCCTTGTTAGAACTGCACTTATTACAGCAGAAATAGGGTATTCAGGCGATTGAGTCTTCTGTGCCATTTGATGAGCTCATACTTGATCAAATGGCCTTGTGCTCCACTTTCCTACCTTTCCCCATAACACAGGATA